ATGGCACATTTTCTCCCTGATATGTGGAGGTTAGATCTAAAAGGCAATGGGACATGAAAAAAGACACAAAATTCTAGATAGACACTCACAGTGAGACCAAAAGAGGATAGTCTTAGGAGAGAATTACGAAAGTGGAATGCCCAAGTGCATCTTCATATGTGTATAAGATACATACTGAAATGAACTCCAAAGATATGGAAACAAAGGACTTCTTAAATTATTTTTTTTCTTTCTCTGATGACTATGTACTCTTTATATACAGTGTATTCATGGGCACATCTGTGGGAGTGTGGGGAGAGGGCACAGAATCAGAGGGAAAAAGGTGAAAAAATGCAGTAATGGAGCACCCTGGACACTGATGAAAGTGAACTATGTGCAACTCATGGGTGGAGATGGGAGGGAGGGAGGAGAAAATGAGGGAACAGATGATACTATGTGGAAGGAAATGTCTTATTACCTGACAAATGTAAAGGTAACCCTGCTATATATCACCTCTAAAGCAACAATAACATAAATTAGAAGAAAAATTGATTTGTGTGCTTTGCTCTGGAAAAATGGCTCCCTGAAAACAAATAGTTGGTTTTTAGACAAAACGTCCAGGCCCCAGCTTGTGGTTCTCTTCTTTGACTCATAAATCATTTAAACTCTTTTCTCTTACTGATCATGTAATCAAAATGTTTGCTAACCAAACTTTAACTAGTCTCAGATTTTTAATCCACCCTCACTCTGAGCCAGTATGCAACCCTTCTTCAAGGGTCTGCCCCAGAATAACCTGATCTCAGGGTGAAGCACTTGATTTGTCTGATCTCACCCGATCCTTCTTTTCTGTTCCTTCCATTTGCACACAGTGAGGTCTTCCTTTCTTTTTTTTTTTTTTTGGGGGGGGGTCCGGTCGTGGGGCCTGAACTCTGGTCCTAGACGCTGTCCCTCAGCTCTTCAGCTCAAGGCTAGCGCTCTACCACTTGAGCCACAGCACCACTTCCGGCTTTTTTCTTTTTGCTTATGTGGTGCTGAGGAATTGAACCCAGGGCCTTATGCATGCAAGGCAAGCACTCTACCACTGAGCCACCTTCCTAGCCCTCAGTGAGGTCTTTCTAGCCTTGCTCACTTTTCCCTATGGAAGGAAAGTGCTTTCCCATTAATTTTTCAACTATGCAAGTCTCGTGGCAGGCATTTCTCTCATGGCATATAAACCTTTAGGGGACATGCTCACACCATATTCATTCAAACCATAATAGTAAAAGGGGCCCAGGGGCCCAGGAGCATTGTTTCACAGCCAGAAGTCAGTCAGGATTGTGTGAGCACTGACATGACCTCCTCCGCAGAATGAGACAATCCATCGAGGCAGTGAGAGGTGAACACAAGAAGTGTATTTACACTATTCACATCAGAAAGGGGTCCGGAAACTACCTTGTCCTGGTCTAGATACCCAGAAGCAAGGGCAGCCTCGACCACCAAACCTGCAAGCCTCCAATAGGCAGCCCTGAACGCCTCACCTTTATTAGTTGGTCTGCAAACCACCAAATTAGTCGGTCTGCAAACCTGCCACCTCCAGTTCATTGCATGCCCCGCCCCTTTCGGTGGCATGCCCCACCCCTTTCAGCAGCATGGCACGCCCCTCTGGCCGCGCCCCGTGGGGCGGTGACATCAGCCTCTCAATACCCTGCTCCGTCCCATGGCCGGGTCTGTGACACTGTGAGGCTCACCTCCTGGTGCCCCGCCCCCTCCAGCAGGCCGGGCCATGGGGCCATGCTGATGGGTTATTACATTATAACCCATAGCATCGTGCTTAATTTTAGCCACATAAGCATTTGTGCTGGTTTGGCAGCATTGGGGTTTGAATTCAGGATCTTATGCTTGCTAGACAAGGTGTTCTACCACTTGTGCCATGCCCTCAACACTTTTTGTTTTAGTTATTTTTAGACAGATTTTTTTTTTAGACTTTTTGCCCAGGGCCAAATTCAGACCAAGTTCTGTAGCTGGCTTGTTTTGCTGAGTTGTTTCTAGATGTTTTATATGATTTGGGGACTTAATTTGGAAGATGAGCTAGATGGGTCTGACTATGCCATACAATTTGTCTCCATCAGGTGTCTCTGCCCTCACCCATGTCTTAGTCTCTTCCAACTGCTATAATACTAGGTCTTAGATGTCTTAGCCATATCCTAAGGCTGAGGTAGGCAAATAATGTGCATCCATGGTTGCCAGGGCAACAGGTGGAACATTCTTTCCAGGGTGACCAGCTCTACTTGCAAAGACATGCCCTTAACTATCAAAGGAAGGCCAGTATAACCAAATGGTGTTGAGAACACTGCTGATGTAATTTCCAGGGCCAAGCTGATCACCAGTGGCTCATGCCTATAATCCTAGCTACTTAGGAGGCTGATATCTGAGGACCAAGGTTTAAAGCCAGCCAGGAAAGGAAAATCTACAAGACTCTTAACTCCAATTAACTAGACAAAAGCCAGACTATAGGGCTGGGAAGGTGGCTCCGTGGTAGAGTGCTATCCTTGCATGCACGAGGCCCTAGGTTCGATTCCTCAGCACCACATAAGCAGAAAAAGCTGGAAGTGATGCTGTGATTCAAGTGGTAGAGCTCTAGCCTCGAGCTGAAGAGCTGAGGGACAGCGCCCAGGCCCAGAGTTCAGGCTCCATGACTAACCAAAAAAAAAAAAAAAAAGCTAGAGTATAGATGTGACTCGTGTAGTAGAATGCTAACCTTAGTTTAAAAAACAAAAACAAACACAAACCCTAGGGACAATACCCAGTCCCTAAGCTCAAGCTCTAGGCACCAAAAATCAACAAAAACCCTGGGCCAGACAAACTGATGCCACATTCCCAAACCAGAATGCTTATCCAGCCAAGCAGAATTGTCGCAAAGTGCATGTGTAGGGGAAGCAAGGATGATGATTCTACAATGACCTTTTGACCCCATGATGCCCAGAACCTGATTTCAGACTACCCAGTCTTTTTGAGCAGCACTCACACAGTGATCTGAGCAGGCTCCAACAAATCTGGACATATGTTACCACTTATTTATTACAGGAGCTCCACCTGTCAATCATCCTGCCTTTCAGAGTTCCAGACAAGCAAAAGACCAACCCAACCTCCACCCAAAGACTCTCTTGTCCCTTTTGATTCCCACTATAAAGGCACAAGAAAATGGTACCCCCTTGATGCAGTACAACGTTTACTGTGCTTTCATTAAACTTTTTTAAAAATCATTTTTATTATCCTCTGCATCTTGTCTGAATTCTTGACTAGCTAAGTTGACTTTCCAACAAGAATGCTGTAACAGAATTGTCACAATCTGTATAGTTTATAAAGAAACAAAATTCATTTCTCACAGTTCTGAAGGCTAGGAGCTAAGATCAAGGTGCCTGCATCTGAGAAGGCATTATACACTAAAAGGGTTCCAGAGAGAAAAGGCTGGAACTCATCCTTTTTAAGGATTCGCTTCCCAAGGCGAGTAGTAGCCTACTGGCTCAGGAATAGCCTAATCCATTCACAAGGGCATAGTCTAAGATAAAAACACCTCCTAAAAGCCTCACCTGTTACAATGGCAATTGACTTTCAACATGAGTTTTAGAGGAGACATTGAAATCTTAGCAGCTGGGTAATTGTAACAACAGAAATTCAGTTCTCAGAGTTCCAGGGATTGAGAAGTCCAAGATTAAGCAAGGCATTGCAGATTTGGTGTCTAGCAAAGGGTCTGTGCCTCATAGATGGTGATGTTTTAATATCCTCATGTGGCTGAAGAGAAGGAAGGGCTGGGAAGCTGTCGGAAGCCTTCTTCACAAAGGCATACATCCCGCTCACAACAGTACAATCCTGCAGTCTAATAACCTCCCAAGGGCCTTGCCTCCTTTTTTTAAAGTTTTATTTTATTGTAAAGGTGATGTACAGAGGGATTACAGTTACATAAGTAAGGTACAGAGTACATTTCTTTTCAAGCAGTGTTACCCCCTCCCTCGTTTTCTCCTACTCTCCCTCCCCCTACCCCCGCTCCCCTTCCCCCCAAGTTCATTTCCAACATAGTGTCTAGTATCACTGTTGCATTGGTTCACCCTTTGTCCAACTGTTTCTGTTACTCCCCTTCCTTTCCTCAAATCAGATAAATATATATAAGACAAGGGTACGGAAGTCAGAAATAGTGACCATAGGGAATAAACCAGAGGAGAAAAATAAAGAGGAAGACAAAAGAAATAACTGCAGAGAGTACACAAAAAAAAGAAGAAAAACAAAACAACAACAAAACAACTCTTGTTTCCATATCTTGGAGTTCATTTCAATTAGCACTATTTTATATGACCATATGTACATAACCATTGTGCTATTATGATCTGCTAGTTCTATCCTAGGCTATTCCAATTATTACAAATGAGGAAAACAATGGAGTCTATGTTTCCTTGGGTCTGGCTTACTTCACTTAGTATGATATTTTTCCAAGTCTTTCCGTTTCCTTATGAATCAGGGGATATCATTCTTTCTGATGAAACCATAGAATTCATGTGTGTGTGTGTGTGTGTGTGTGTGTGTGTGTGTGTGTACATTTTCTTGATCCATTCATCTACATAAGGGGCATCTGGGGACCTTACCTCTTTACACCATCACATTGGGATTTACGTTCCTATGTCTGAATATTGGAGGGCACATGCATCCAGACAATTGCATCCAGCAACCATGAAATTATGGGTAAGTATAAAATGTAAAACTTTTCACTATTAATATTCATTCTTCAGTTGCTGTTTGAAACATTCTATGTATGTTAATTGAAGTAAGTCTGCCAACAAGATCATTCAGAGCTTGAACATACTCACTGCTTTCTGTCTGTGTGTTATAAACAAAGGCTGTCTATAACTCCCAATTTGGGTCCTCATCTTCCAGCATCTTCCTTTAGATGTAATTTGGGCTGTGTAGATTTTGAAGCTACAGTATTTAGGATTACTTATGGTCTTGAAAAATCCATCCTTTTATCGTTTAAAATACTCTTCCTCCTAGGCACTAGTGGCTCACACCTGTAATCCTATCTACTCAGAGGCTGAGATTTTAGGATTTAGGTTCGAAGCCAGCAGAGGCAGAAAAGTTTCATCCTCAATAAACTACCAAAAAACCTGGAAGTAGAGCTGTGGCTCAAATAGTAGAGCACTAGCCTTGAGCAAGAGTAGCTCAGGAACAGTGTACAGACCCTGAATTCAAGTCCCAGAACTGGCACACACACAAAATTAATAAATAAATAAAAAATACTCTTTCTTACCTTTGTTAATGTTTCCTATCATCAATCTACCTTTATAAAATATAGCCCCTCCAACCTTCTTATGCTTTTGTTTACATGTCATGTAGGTTCCATCCTTTTATTCTTAGCAGTTCTTTTGTTATTGTTAAATGTCATAAATAGTAATTGATTGATTCCCATTTCAACATCTGTGTTTGTATTGAAGTGGCTTTAAAATGTGTCCTCAGGTGAGAAATGGGACATCCTTGAATTCTTGAGCCTCCACATCAATTTTTAATTTGATTATCAAAGTATATTAATTACACAGAATAATGGGTTTTATTGTGATATTATTATAGATGCATATAAATCAATCATATCCATAAAATAACCATAAGCCCTCCTTCACCCTCCCTCCACACACATATTTTTTTGGGGGAAAAGAAACTCTATGAGTCAACTTTGAGCTGTGGAGAATCATCCATGATTTATAAGTAAAGATCCAAGAAATAGTCCTCTTCAAACTAGACATTAGGGAAATGCAAACAAAGCCACAGTGAGATACCATTTCACATCCACTTAGGATGGCTGCTAAGAGAAACAAAAAAAAACAAGACAGAAATCAAAAAGTTTTCTCAAGGATGTGAAAAATTAGAACCCTCTGTATATATTACTGGTGGGAATGCAGACTGGTACAGATGCTGTGGAACAGTTTGCCTATTTGCCAAGAAGTTAAACTAAATTATCTATGATCCAGAAATCCCACTTTTAGCCGCCGGATTTCACATTCAGATGCCTGAATGCCACTACTCATAGTGGGATTATTCACAGCAGTTGGAAGGTAGAAGCAACCCATATGTCCATCAATGGATGAATAAAAAAATGCAGTGCTTTCAATAAAATCTGTTCATCCTGAATGAGGAATGAAAACCAATAAATGCTTGGACCTTGAAAACATGAAATAAGTCAGGCAAAAATAAGAATAGTATATAGTTGTGTTTACATGAAGTATGTAGAATAGACAAGTTCACCGAGACAAAAGAAACAAAGGAGGCAACATACCTGATAAGAAATGGAAAAAATTATATTAAGTGAAGTAAGCCAGGCCCAAAGAAACATAGGTCCCATGGTTTCCCTTATTTGCAATAATTAGTATATGTCTGAGTCAAGCAGAAAAGGTCAGATAAGTTGATGTTAGGGAAATGAACCCCAATAAGGACTCAAGTCATTTTTCTTTCTTGCTATTGTTTGTAACAATATTTATAAGGTGATTTTTTTGGTGCTTTTTATGTCCCTTCCCCATGGGGGTTCCTTTTTTCACTGTATTTGATGTTGGTATAATTTGTGGAGGGGAAGGGAAAAAACAAATCATTTAAATAGGGATACAGGTGGACCCATTGCAACAATGAGATGTACAAGTCGTTATGTCGAAAACCGAACTTTACAACTTTGGGGGGGGGGAGGATCTGGTGGGGGGAGGAGGGGGCATGTGGGAAGGGATGGGAAGGGGAAACAAAGGAGGAGGCAACAATGCTTGATAAGAAATGTACTGGTCATCTTGCCCATATAATTGTAACCCTTCTGTACAGTATTTTCACAATTAAAAAAAAAAACTACAATGGGGGAAAAAAAAAGAAATGTACTCATTACCTTGCCCCTGTAATTGTAACCTCTCTGTATGGTATTTTCACAATTAAAAAATAAAATCCAGATACAAAAAAAAAAGAAAGAAAGAAAGTAGAACAGAGGCTGCAAGAGGACTACAAGAGGGAGGGTTACTTCACTTAATATAATTTTTTCCAAGACTTTCCATTTCCTAACAATTGGGGCAATGTCATTCTTTCTGATGGAGGCATAGAATTCCATTGTGTATATATACCACATTTTCTTGATCCATTCATCTACTGAGGGGCATCTGGGTTGGTTCCATATTTTAGCTGTAGTAAATAATGCTGCAATAAACATAGTCGTGCTGGTAGCTTTAGTGTGGTCTTGTTTGTGATCATTTGGGTAAATGCCCAAAAAGTGGGATTGCTGGGTCATAGGGGAGCTCTAGGTGGAGTCTTTTGAGGAACCTCCATACTACTTTCCAAAGTGGTTGAATAAGTTTACACTCTCACCAACAATGCAGTAAGGTTCCCTTCTTTCCACATCCCCTCCAGCATCTGTTGTTATTAGAGTTCTTGATTTTTGCCATTCTAACTGGAGTGAGGTGGTATCGCAATGTTGTTTTGATTTGCATTTCTTTTATGGATAAGGATGTTGAGCATTTCTTCATGTGTCTATTGGCCATCCTTCTTTCTTCTTCAGAGAAGTTTCTCTTCAAGTCTTTAGCCCACTTATTTATTGGGCTGTTGTTTCTTTGAGGATTTGTTGTTGGGGGATTTAATTTTTTGAGTTCCAGGTATATTTTAGATATGAGACCCTTGTCCATTGTATGGCTAGTGAAGGTCTTCTCCCAATCCATGGGCTTTCTATTGATCTTGCTAGCTATGTCCTTTGCCATGCAGTAACCCAGGCCCAAAGAAACATAGGTCCCATGGTTCCCCTTATTTGCAATAACTAGATATGTCTGAGACAAGCAGAAATGGTCAGATAAGTTGATGTTAGGTGACATAAACCCCAAGATAAGGATTCAAATGTTTTTTTCTTTCATTCAATTGTTTCTAACATATTTATAAGATGATGTCTTTGTTGCTTTGTATGTCCCTCCCCCATGGTTTAACCCCTGTTTTTGCTGTATTTGATGTTGGTATAATTTGTTTAAATAGGGATACAGGTGGACCCACTGCAACAATGAGATGTACAAGACAGTATGTCAAAAAACAAACTTTACAACTTTGCTGGGGGGGGGGGGGTAATGGGAAGGGATGGAAAGGGGAAACAAAGAGGAGGCAACAATGCTTGATAAGAAATGTACTCATTATCTTGCCCATGTAATTGTAACCCCTCTGTATGGTATTTTCACAATAAAAAAAAAAAGAAAAAAAAACGAGGGAGGGTTAGGAATTGCCCTAACAGAACTTCTGATGAGAAGCTGTGAAAATACAAAGCCACAATGGTTTTGTCACTAGACAGAGGTGAGATTTACTGAAGTTCCCCTTTAAATATAGAAACTCTTCACTTAGGGCTCTTGACTTCGATCACAGAATAAGAATTTCAATGGTAAGAAAACTTGGCAGAGATTTATTAAGTAAACAAGCAAGGAAACAGACAGACAAAAAAGCAGACAAACAGAAGGGCAGGGGCACACTCTAGCAGAGTGTGGGTGCTCTCATAGGAACACAAAAACACAGACACAGATACAGATACACACAAGGAGACACCCAGAGACACAAGCATCTTGAGCTGTTGGGTATTTATAGGGTAAAGGCAGGGGGTCTGGCTTTAAGTTATGCAAAGTTAGGTGCTTTGTCTGTGCTTTAACTACATTTGGTGTTATTCTGAGTTTCCAGGTAAGAATGCATCCTGCCATAAAACACATCCTTATCCTTGAAACAAGAAGCCCTGCTATCTGCATTTGGGGCATCCTGTCAGGCAGTTGTGAATTCTTGGGTGAGAAATGCATCCCTTAGGAAAGAATGTATTCAGTTGCCTCTCTTTGAAGCAAAGATAGCATTTCTAAGTTTCTACATACCATATTTCTGCGTTGCTGACCCCAGGCTTCAGTTTCCATAAGTTATTCTGTTTCATTTCCCCCAAAATGACTTTTGTTCCTTGAATCTTAAGGGAAGTACATGAAGGAATATTCCTGTATTTGCTGTTAGCTGACCCTACCTCATTTTTCCTAGTCTATCTGGCTTCAGTTTCACAACTTAGTTAATTCACCTCATGCCACCATACTGTTCACTTGGTAAAGCATGTTAAAGCAGTGTTATGTATATTTTCTCATTTTAAAATTCTATATCTTTTTAAAAGTAGTTTTCCCTTCAAGAGATGGAGTCTATGCCCCTTCCTTGGGTGCAGGCTGGATTGGTGCCCTACTTCTAATTTGCAGAAAAAAGCAGAAGTGACAGTTTAGAGATTAGGGGATTTGGTCCTAAAAGGCCTAGAGGTTTCTTTGCTTTGTCTGGTGACCTGTTCCCTCAAGGGAAAGTTTCATGGCACATACAATGAATGACACTTCAGTGTCTTATTATAATTGGGAGTACTCTTCGTTGTAATCTGACCTTATACCTGGGGACCTTTACAATTAGCCAAAAAACTTTATTCTACATTTTTGACGCAAAATTCTATTGTGCAAATTGCCTCTATTTTGGTTTTGGTCTTTTAAAAGTTTGCCTTTTTCCTCCTTCCTTTTATAAAATATTTTCATCAGATATAAAATTTTTGTTTTTTGTTTGTTGGACTTCAACAGTTTTATTTTTTCTTGTCTTTTGTCTTTTAGATTTTTTTTGGAGTTCGTTTATATATTTTTTGTTATTATTGATTAGTGAAGTGGGATTACATACTTTGTTTTTGTCAAGGTGATGTACAGAGGGGTTACAGTTACCTAAGTAAGGTAAAAAGTACATTTTTTGTCAAACTTGTTACCCCCTCCCTCATTTTTCTCCCACTTTTCCTCCTCCCCAGCGCCCCCCCCAAGTTGTACAGATTATTTCCAACAGTGTGTTAGATTATGTATTTTTAACTGCTTTTTTTGTTGTTGTTGGTCCTGGGGCTTGAACTCTAGGACTGACCACTGTCCCTCAGCTTTTTTTATGCTCAAGAATAATCTCTACCATTTGAGCCAGAGAGCTATTTCCAGCTTTTTTGAGTAGTTTCTTGGAGATAAGAGTCTCATGAACTTTCCTGCCTGGGTCAGCTTTGAACCGGGATCCTTAGATCTCACTCAGCCTCTTGTGTAGCTAGGAACACAGACATGAGCCACCAGCACCCAGCGTGCATTTTTATTAACATGAATTAATAGCACAAAGGGATTTCATTGTGATAGTTCCATAGATGCATAATACAGTGCATGTTGGACAACTTCCCCTCTCTATTATAGTCCTTTACATTCTGCCTCTTCTTTTTTGCACTCCTTTACACTCTGCCTCTTCTTTTTTTAAATTTGATTTTATTGTCAAGGTGATGCACAGAGGGCTTACAGTTACATAAGTAAAGTAATGAGTGCATTTCTTGTCAAACTTGCTGCCCCTTCCTTCATTTTTCTCCCACTTTCCCTCCACGCCCCCCCCCTTTTCATTTTTTGATGTACTTCACTATGCTATCTTCATTTATGTATATGTAATGCACTTCAATCCTCTTCATCTTTCAGTGTCCTCTTCTTTCCCCCTTCTCTCCTCCTCATCCCCCACAAATAGTCCTCCTTTACCATTTATTTCTATTACTATTATTATTATTTGGTTATTAGAGTATAAACTCAGAGCCTCATGCCCACTCAGCTTGCTTACTTAGCTGGTGATCTACCATGTGAGCCATGCCTCTAGCCTGGATTTTTCATGGTTATTTTGGAAATGGGAGTCTCACAGACTCTTATGCCTAGGCTGACCCAAAGGATCTCAGCCTCTTGCTTAGCTAGGATTATATTTGTGAGCTGCTGGCACTTGGTTACTTTTACTTTCTTGATGAATCTCCATATTGCTTTCCACTGTGGTGGTACTAGTTCCCATTCCCACTAACCGTATTCTCTACTGATACTGTTTTTTACTTCTGAGACTCCAGTTGTCCATGCTTGACAGCCACTGATCAATTTTAGACATTGTTTGTAGTTGGCTGTTTTATGTTGTCTTTACTTTCCTTTTTCTTTTGATTCTTCAGCTTCTGTCATTTCTATTGATCTGAATTCAAACTCACTGATCCTTTTTTCAATTATGTCCAGACTTTGTTTTTGTTGTGATGGTGGTGTGGTGGTGATGGTGGTCATTTTGTACAGTATTAGGGCTTGAACTCCAGCCCTAGGCACTGTCCCAGAGCTTACCCCCCTCCTTAAAGCTAATGCTCTACCACTTGAACCACAGCTCCACTTCTGGATTTTTGCTGGTTAATTTGAGATAAGTGTCCTACCGACTTTTTTACCTGAGCTAGGTTTAAACCATGATCCTCAGCATCAGCTCTCAGCCTCCTGAGTAACCAGGATTGCAGATTAGCTCCCGCCTGTTGAGTCTAGGTTTAAAGTGACAAAAGGATTCTTAACTTCAAGAAGATAGTTTTCAGCTTTTGAAGTTGTACTTCTAATTTTTTTCAAATTTCTATTTCACCAATAAAATTTTTCATATACTCACCCATTTTTTCCATCTTTTTAATTGTTTTTGTAAGTACTCATAATATTTTGTATTGTTCTGCTGATTTCCACATCTGAGTCATCCTCAAAGTCTATTTTTGTTAGTCTCAATTCTCATTATTATGCACTTCATTTTCCTGCTTTTTTGCAAGTTTCGTTCATTTGCTTGCAGCACTGGGATTTAAACTCAGGGACTTATAGCTAGGCCACACCTCCAATCACAAGTCTGGTTGGTTTTTGTTGTATACTGTATATTGTCAGTGTTACTTCATAAAGATTCTAAGTTATACAGTCGATTTCTAAATAGTGTTAAGTTTTGTTCTGTTAGGAATTTAAATTACTGGCAAACAAAAAAAGGCTGTTTCAGAGTTATTTTTAATTCTAGAAAATTTCCTTTGGGGTAGAATCTTCCTGCCTTATATGTAGTCTTTCTGAGGTTTATGATAAATGTCCAGTGTGTTCAACAAGATGTCTCCGCCTGGGTCAGAGCTCCAGTGTCTCCTCAGTACAATGCCACTTCAAAACACTCTGCTTGGCTCTCTCCTTCCATGTTCCAGTTTTTGTTGCTGTGTAACAAAAAATTACTCCCTAAATGTATCAACTAACTTTAAGCCCACTTTATTACACTCTCAGACGCTCGGTAGGGAATACAGCGCACAGTGTTGACTGTGCCTGCTCACAACATCTCAAGCCTCAGCTGGGCAGATTCAAACATTGAGTCCAGCTTGCCAATCTAGGCACTGATCTGCAGCTGGTGCCTGGCCCCAGATGACTTGAAGAAGTCCAGGACTGCTGATCACAGGGCCAACTTGTGGTTTCTCCATGCTTGGCTTTCTCAGTTATCACAGACTTGGAGTAGCCAGAATGTACACATAGCTACTCAAAGCTACAAACACAAGAATTTGAGTGAGAAGTATACAAACTTAGTGGCATTTGTTACTCAGCTTCATAAAGCACACACTCTCACTTTCTGCCGCCTCACTGATTGAAACAGTCACAGCACATCAAGACTCAGGGAAGAGAAATAGACTTTGTCTCTTGCTAGGAGCGTGCCAAAGTCACATTCTGGAAGAGCATGTGGAATAGCAGATATTGTTTGACCATCTTTATAAAATACAGTCTGCCACAGTGCTGCAGCAGCTGTCATGGGCTTCTTAATGACGGTCACTAAATCTGCATGAGAAGGGACTTAGCCAGGTTCCTGCGGGAGGTGGGGGGGTTGGGGGGGGGAAAGAGGGTCTTTGGGACTTCATCTCTGCAGGTCCATCCCCTCTGCATCCAACCGGTCCAATTCCAGCCACCCAGCACACCTCATCCCGCCTCTGTGGCACTGCTGCGTCTATATAGCTCTATTCTCCTGAGCTAATCCTTGAAAATTGCCCTCAGGCAGAATGCCAGGGTAAGTAAGCTCACCTCTCAGAATAACCTCACCTCTCCCAGGTCTGAGGTCCAATCCAGTCCTTTGTTTTGTGCCTGAAAATAGTCACTTCAAATAGTTGTCCCATTTTATGATGGCTCAATGTAAGTGGTGTGGTGGGCAGACCATAAGGGGGCCCAGTTACCTCGGCTTCTTAACATGCATGCCCTTCTGTGATGCTCCTCCCTTGAGAGAGAGAATCCTCTGTGACATACAGAATAAGCCAAAGGCAATGGGATTTACATGCCTGTGTGTCAGGGTTACTACATGGGATGATTTATGTAGAATTCATAACACCTGTCTTACTAGAGTCTTTCCGTTCCTTTACTGACTTTGAAGAAGTAAGCTGTCATCTTATAAGCTATGGACAGGGAGAGCCATGCTGTAGCATAGAGCTGGGCCTAGTCTCTGGCCAATGTCTAGTGCAGAGCTATTGTTTTTTATCTTCCCTTGCAGGAACTGAGGAAACCCCAGCCACAATAAACACATCAGTCCCATCTTACAGCTGCGTGAAATCCAGGCCCACCAAAACTAGGAGATAATAAATACATGCTGTTTCAAGCTACAGAATGTGGGGTGGTGTGGATATACAGCCAAATAGAACTAATATTGCTTGCAAATCTAACATCATCAACTCCTTCATGATCATCCTATGTTGTAAACCATAAAGAAAACCCCTAATATGGGGCCTGGCAAAGCAGGCAACGAGGCATCTAATACATCTTTAAGTTCTGTCAGTTAGAAGAGACCTCCAGCCTCAAAGCATCTCCCCCTATTCCAGTATTCAATAGTCCCTACTTGGAGCTTTATTACTTGAATTAAACATGTTGTGCAAAGTTGTAATGAGTCTCCTAATTGATAGTTCATATGCTTGACGCTGAGGCACCAAAACCAAACGACATACTGTCCTTTCTTCAAAAAAGGCATGTGCCCTTCATTTTATGCATGTTATTCAATATTCATAAGAGTCCTATGAAGTGGGTACAGGCACCATGACATACATGTGACGGCATTAGAATTTGAACCCAGGGTTTTTTTAAAAGGAGGGCCTGTGGAGCACAGGGGATATATTTGTTCTTTTGTCATCTCATATCTGAGACATTATGTTTTTGGTTCTCTGCTTCTACCGTGGCAATGTTCTGCCTATTTGCTCAAGGAAATAGTCACCAACATGGGTCAGTTGCCCATACAGGACAATTTCAGAGTAAAGGCATTACACTAGATTCTATTACAGTAGCAGTATATTCTAACAAGTCTACATTGCACTTGCCCCAATATAATAGAAGTAACCTCCTTTGACATCAGGGGAGAAAGTCTTTGTGTTCAACTTCTGCCTTTACATGAATCCAAACCCCTCGTGCTGGCTCCTACTACCTGAAGGACCATCAAATGTCATTCTCTGAGATGTCAGAGTCACAGCTTCAGCCAGAGTTCCTCAGGTGCATTTGACTAGAGATCGGGACTCTCAGAGCCTTCATACTTTGGAGGTAGGCTCGGGGGTTCCAGGCTGTGCCTCAGTCTCTGTCTCCAGAAAAACTCCCCAGGCCCTAGGCCCATGCTATCTAGAATCAGGCCTACTATAGACCAGGACCCCACATCCTGCTATGCAGGATGTTATTCTCTTCTTTGGAATTTCCATCGAGACTTCAGCTGTGTATCCTGTCTGCAGAAACAAGGCCCGACATAGAAGAGAAACTCAATTGTGGAAAGCAGTAATGATGGACAGATGGATGGATGGATCTATAATGGCTGGATAGGTGAATGGATGAATGGATGATAGAAAATAATACATGAGTGGTTGGATAGATGACCAATGGCTATGTGGGTGGGTGAGTAGATGGAGAGATTCATAGAAAAATGGACAGAAAGATAAAAGGTGGATCGTTTTTGTCTCCCAGTTCTCAGATTTGCTCCTTATTGCCAGAAGTTCCTCTCGTTTGTTCCTGATGTCCTATCCCTACTTTCTGGAAGCTGGCATGAGATCACTGTGTGTTGCTTGATTAGGACCTCAGAGGTTGTTTCTCCCTCCAGAGTTTCTCCCTTCCTTCCTAAAGCTTCCCAGCCAGTTAGCTCATGAGCACCCTCATTCCCTGCCACAAATTGCTCTAAAGGGCTTTTGATACCAGAACCTCTGCAATTAAGATCCGTAGGCATACCTTTTCTTCCCGGAGAACACAGTGCCAAGGGCAGAAAAACAAGCTTTGTAAACACAAGCACCTTTGGTTACAGAAGTCACCTCTCCTCCTCTCTAGCTGTGAGTCCTGCAAGTCTCCACCAGGATTTCTATTTCCTCATCTATAAAATGAGGCAACTTTACCCATTCTACAAGGTCACCTGGGGATTAGTGGAAGCTGTAAGTAGAACCTGCTACATTGTAGTCTTTCAGTTAATATCTGTTTCCTTCCCTGGGAAAAACTCCTCCCAGTCAACTCAAACCACTGCACATGAGCCTGACGCCTTGCTAGTCACACTATCAGCCTGTTCTCTGCTTCTGAGATTGCTGTGAGAGGTTTGATGGTCAGTTTAAATCTTGTGAGATGGGTAGCACTTCTTGTAACGCAGTCCGTGGCTCTATTTGAAAGAGAGAAAACTGAGGCCCAGAGACATCAAGCACTAGAGTAGATCAAAGATGGCCACAAGTTCATCACTCTCCCCAGCAAGAGGTAGTGTATGGCGGATGGCTGTCCTTGAGTCTGGCCTACCCCTCAGACAGAAGCCTAGCTCAAGTTAGAATGCCTGTCTGGGGTCTTACCATCCTAGTGAATACTGGTAGGACCACAGCCACTGACTGCTCTTGGCAGCCCAGCTCCCGTCAGCAGCTGGCCCTACCAGGTAGGTAGTCTGCCCTTGTGGACTTCCTGACAGCCAGTGTCTCAGATAGTTCCAGTAGCACCATGTGGCTCAGAAGAACTCATGAAAATACGAGAGATAAAAAGTAGTTTTAAGTCATCATTGGGGCCTGAGCAGTTCTTGTCTGGACCTGAGATCCAGTGTGAATGATTAGGTTTTGTTTTTTTTTTAATTTTACTTTATTGTAAAGATGCTGTACAAAGAGGTTACAGATACATGAGTAAGCCAATGAGTCGAGCATTATTACGATGCTTGTCGAGCATTATTACCCCTTCAGCCCCAAGCCATCCCCTGCCTCAGGCCTAAAGCAATGCTCCAGTCCTATTATCAGCCTTAGCCAGGCATGGGACTCTGTCTCCCTCTGGTGGTCAGAGTAAGCACTGCACAGGGCTCTGGGCCCGGCAGACCTGCATCCCTCCCTCCTTACTTTTGGACAAAAGCCTATCCCACTGCTCTCAACTGCCAGGCAAGTTCAGCTGCGAGGCCCAGAGCTGTGGCTGCACCAGTCCTGGCTGCCAAGCCAAGGAGCACAGCCAGCCCTGGTGGCATCTGGGGTTGCCAAGGGGATTTGAGAGAACGGCAGAGGCCCTTTCCTCACTAATCAGAGGCTTCTAGAGAGGCGGCTGGCACTGCTAGCGAAAAGCCTGCCTCGATGAAACCTGCCAGGGCGAGTGGCCAACAGAAAGTGGCCTTTCCTCATCAGGATGAAGCCTCATGGGCCTGGATGGGACAGAGACACTAAGTCATCCAGTCCTTAATGTTCTACCCACAGTGAATGCCACCAAATGAAAAGCTGGGTGGCTTCTATAGTAAATACGCATAGAACAAAATTTACCATTTAAACCGTATGAGGTACAGGTCAGCGGCACTTAGTACTGACACAGCATCACCATCCAGCCCCAAAACATTTTCAACTTCCAAGATGAGGCTCTATACCCCCCCCCCAAAAAAAAAAACACAGTTCATCTTTCCTCTCTCAGTTTTCCAGCCCCTGGAAACTCCTATTCTGCTTTCTGTCTCTATAGTTTTTACCACCTTAGGGACGTCATGTAAATAAGAAGCCTACAGCCCCAGTCTTGTGTGACCAACTTATTTCACTTAGCACATGTCCTTAGGGACTGTCCATGTTGCATGGGTGTCAGAGGTTCCTTCCTGTTTAAAGTCAAATAGTATTCCATCATCCAGAAGGGCTAACATTGGTTCATCCACGCATCTGTCTGCAGCCCCATGGGTTATTGATGTGTGGCTACTATGAGTAGTGCTACTAGGCACATGAATATACAATGACAATGTCAGTTTCTCCTTTTTTTATATATATGTTTTCCTAGTACTAGGACTTAAACTTAGCATGATCTCACTCGGATTTTCTCCTCTATGCTAGTTCTCTATCACTTGAGCCATACTTTTGCTTGCAGTTTTTGCTGGACAGGGACTTTTCTGTCCAGGCTGGCTTTGAACTGTAATCCTCAGATCTCAGACTCCTGAGTAACTAGGATTGCAAGCATGTGGCACCAGCTCACAGTTTAGGTGTCACCTTCTATCTGGACATTTCTTATTCTTTCCTTTTGTTAACTATAATATTAAACTATGTGAGCCTGCCTATTCAGCTCTATATCCCGGACAAAGAGCTGACTAGAAATGAAGCTTTCTTCACACCGCTGGCTCCTAAATCTCTGCCCTTCCCCACAGGACACTGGTAACCCCACTCAAAACAGGATTCGCTTGTCTCTGCTCCAGATACTTCTGTCTACAACAACAGTATGACATAGGTGTTCTTATTTTCCTCCCTCACAAAGAAACTGAGGCTCAGGGAAGGAATGTGGCTTGATGTTGAGACCAGCTAGTAAGTAGCACAGTCCATGGGATTCTACACCCTCACGACCGTCCCACACTAAATGCAAGGAGCCCATTCTCGGTGGTGCCTTATTGACTTCCAATCTTGAAGCTTAATACTGTTCTCCATTCCTCATCTTTTCCCTCACATTCTAGATGCACACTGAAGCCTTTTCCTTCCTGCAAGGACTACATAGTAAAGAACACCCACCTCATTCAGAGCCAGCCTGAGGCAGCCCATAGTACAACAAGTCCACAGCCTTCCCTAGTGCCAGCTCCTAATAGAAGAGCAAATAATGTCCCTGGTGGGGGCTTCCAGGAGACCACATGGACAAAAAGGCCTCTGGCCAGTGCCTCTTATTCTCACCTCTTTAGGAGAACAGTGTCTCAGCAAGTCAGCCTTGCCAAGGGGCAGAGCCCTCACAGTGGCTTCTTAGCGGCTGGACTCAGCCATGTGGAAATCAGGTCTGTGGGTCCACAGTCTACCTTCGGGCACATAGGAAAGAGGCGCCACCCCAGTTTTCCAGAGCAGCTATTTGCAGAAAGGCCCAAGCTGACACAGACATTTTGTCCCACTTGGCTCATCTCTTGGTTTAGTGTCCCTCAATAGAGCCCAAGAGAAGAAATCAGTAAGGGTAGATAGAGTACACAGCACGGGCTCAGGCACTCAACCCATTTTGAACCTTCATCAGGGAAGAGAAGAGTTCACCCAGCAGTGGATGGCCTCACACTGACAGGGGATATCATCATCAGGTTACCCACAAGGCCCTGCAGGCACTAACCCTGCCCAAGGAGCCATGTTGTACCAGTGTGGGGAAGCATGGGATGAATTGAGAGGGGGAATTTCTACACAGTCATAAGGAAGTGGGCATGTGTATTCTCAGCCTGATTCAAAGGAGCCACAGAACAGTAAGACCACGGGACCACAGGACCACAAACTTTGAGACCATCTAACCACAGGGCAGCCACTGCGGGATTTCTGTAGGGAGTGATTCCTTCAGGCCAAATGAAATGCAGCATCACGGAACTTCCAGGGGAAAAGTCTGTGGCTTTCTTTCATCATGAACAACTAAGGTGGCCTGTGATGCACTTAGAGACCCAAAGTCAGACTCATCCAACTTATCTTTCAGTCCAAGGCCAAATATACTTGTAAATATCTAAACCGTGTGTAGGTGAAGATCTTCATGGAACTATGAAGTCCTGGGCATGGTTCCACTCAGTGATGGATACCGGTGGCCCTGGAGTGACCTGCTCCCGGGCCCTCCCCATGATACGGGAGAGATGTGTGATAACCACCAGAAGCATTCTGTTTCTTAGACCTGACACCAAAAGCACCAAGAAGAAAAAAAATTATAAATTAATACCCTCATAGTGCTTGTTTGTTTGTTTGCAGACCACATATCTAACAAAGAATTAGTATCTAGAATATGCAAAGAATTTTCAAAGTGCAATAGCAAATACACATCTAATTTAAAAAGAAACAAAGGTCATGAACAGACCTTTCATTGAGAGAAGCTCTGCAAAAAGCAAGCAAGCATGTGCAAAGAGATAAAGATGTTCAATGCACAATTACAAACCTATCAAGATGGCAGGAATAAAAATTAGTGACACCAAATGCTGTCAAGGATTCAGAGAAACTGTATTGCTCGTATATTGAATATGAGAATGTAAAATGTTACCACCATTGGAAAATCTTAACAATGTCTTGAACAACTAAACACATAACTACTACACAACCCAACAGCTGTACACTTGAATATTTATCTCAGAGAAAGGCAAAGTTATGTTATACAAGATTTGTACAATTATTCATAGTAGTTTTAAAGACCACCTAGATTTTCTTTGAGGACAAATGGTCAAATTATGGTACATTTACACCATGGAATACAACTCAGAAATTAAAAGGAACATGACACAATTTGAGGCAATTTGGGGTGGATCTTCATAAAATTATACCAAGTGAAAAATATGGTACATATTTTTCTTTTTCTTTTTTTTTATTTTTTATTTTTTTGGGTCCAGTCGTGGGGCCTGAACTCTGGGCCTGGGTGCTGTCCCTCAGCTCTTCAGCCCAAGGCTAGCGCTCTACCACTTGAGTCACAGCACCACTTCCAGCTTTTTTCTTTTTGCTTATGTGGTGCTGAGGAATTGAACCCAGGGCCTCATGCATGCAAGGCAAGCGCTCTACCACTGAGCCACCTTCCCAGTGCCTGGTACATATTTTTCTATCCCAAATGGTGCATACTATATAATTCCTTTTGTGTGATAGGCTTGAAACAACAAAATTATAGCGATGGAAACACAGGGGTGGTTGCTGAGACTGGTGGGGGGGAGGGGGCGCAACAGGATGAGAGTATGGAAAGGGCTGCTCACAGTGTCATTTGGGGATGGAAGCTCTCTGCTCTTGATTGTAGAGTGTCAGCACTGGGTGTGATGTTTGCTAAGATAGAACCACATCAAAGAACCTGAGTAAAGGATACCTGGGATCGTCTTTTTATCTGTGGATTTCAATGACCTCAAAATAAAAAGGGCTTTGTTTTTTCTGGGTTTTTTGATGGAGGTTTGAACTCAAGGCCTTATGCTTTCACTCAGCTTGCTTGCTCAGCTGGGTCTCTACCACTTGAGTCAACCCTCCAGTCTGGCTTCTTTCTTGTTATTGTAGAGATGATATCTCATGGACTTTTCTACCAAGGCTAGCTTTGAACCATAACCCTTCAGGCCCCAACCCTATGAGTAACTGGGATTACATGCATGAGTCACAGGTGTTTGGCTCCAAAATAAAAAGTTTACACAAAATGGCTTGAGTGGCTTTGGACTCGGGCAGTTGGTAGAGGCTAAAAGAATTTGGAGGAACAAAACATGAATTAATGCCTTCATTGCCTCAAACAAAACTGATGGAAACACAGACATTAAAGATGCTGCTAGTGAGGGCACCGAAGGCAGTAAAAGAAAATAGTAGAGAAATTCTAGATTGCCTTCGAGACAATCCTAACCTCTGTGAACACTCTTAATAGAAATCTAGAATTCAGCAACACTTTAGGCAAGGCAAATGTTATTGAAAAGTGGGAAGGAATATCCTCATTAAATGGTCAAAGAAAATTCAGCAAAATTGTGTCCTGTGGTTATGTAGCAAGCTGTGTGGCCCACGCTCAGCACCCTTGGTTTTCCACACCATAGATAATGTAAGGTCTGGCCCAGGCCATGTAGGCCCTGTGCAGACACCTCTCTACCTCTTGGCCAAGTTTCCACCCAGTATCTGTGTTACCTAGGTAACTGGCACACCTGGAAGTAGTCACCTCCCCCTTCTGCTAGTTCACATCCCCATCCAGTGTGGCCACACCTTTCCTCCACCTGGCCACACCTCTTCCTGTCCCTGGCCTAGATGAGTCCTGCCTCAGGGGTGGGTGGCCCCTTTCAGCCATGCCTGTCCACCACGCTGGGCAGGGGCAGCAGTTGGGTAAATAAACTTCTTTTCCTGCCTGAATAGCACATGGTGCTCTCTTCAGAGGCTACCTAATGAAACCTATTTAATATGAATGGATAATGGGCAAAGGAAAACTGCATCTGCACTGAACATGTACAGACTGTTTTCTTGTCATTATTCACTATGCAGTATAGGATACCAACTATTTGCCTCTCATTTACATTGCATTATGGCTAAGAAAAATCTCACAACAAAGCACTAAAAGTGGTTCCTGGCTTCTTGCCCCTCATAGTAAAGTAAGAGAAGAAGGAAACAATAAAAGGAATAATTGTTAAACCATAGGAGCTTGGACTGGATGAAAATTCTTATCTTCTCCTGTTGATAAAAGATAGTCAGTATCCTAAATAACTGCTGAATATGTGGCTAAGAGAAAAGGCTGAGTGAATAACTAGGCAATCCTTGGTTGAAACCTTGGGGACATATTTTAAAAAGAATATTCAGATGGACAACCTGAGGGATTAAAGGCATGAATCCAATCTAAGGTATTCTAGGACACTTTCTACCTTCTTGGGTTGGCTATGTGTAGGTTACAAGTCCAAGTATAATGTGACTGCATTTTTTGGGCTGTAGTGTTATCTGAGACTCGAGGTCACCTTCCATTCTGTTGGCACAATTCATTTCCTTGCTGCTGTAAGATCTAGGTCTCCATTCTCTTGATGGTTATTGGCCAGAGACAGCTGACAGCTCTTGGAGATCATCATCAAGTCCTAGACATGTGACTACCTCCATCTCATCAATTTAGAACCTCCTTCAGTAAAGTACTTCTTTTTTATTTTGTAGGTCATGGGCCTGACCTCTGGTCCTGGGCACTGTCCCTCAGCTCTTCAGTTCAAGGCTAGCGCTCTACCACTTGAGCCACAGCACCACTTTTGGCTTTATCTGCTTATATGGTGCTGAGGAATCAAACCCAGGGTCTCATGCATGCAAGGCAAGCACTCTAACGCAGAGCCACCTTCCCAGCCCAGTAAAGTACTTCTTAAGCTTTAAATAAGTTTCATTTCTTCTTCCAGCAGCCAGAGGGAAGTTTCTATTTTTCAAGGAATCATGTGATATGATTAGATTAGATTAGATTCACCTACTTATCTCTCTCTTTTTAAAAAAATTTTTATTCTGAAAATACTGTACAGAGGGGTTACAATTACATGGGCAAGATAATGAGTACATTTCTTATCAAGCATTGTAGCCTCCTCCTTTGTTTTCCCTTTCCATCCTTCCCCTCCCCTACCCAACCCTCCTCCCCCCCACACACCAAAGTTGTAAAGTTCATTTTTCCAAATAACGACTTGTACATCTCATTGTTGCAATGGATCCACCTGTATCCCTATTTAAATAATTTGTTTATTCTCCTCCCCTCCACAAATTATACCAACCTCAAATACAGTGAAAGCAGGGGTTATACCATGGGGGAGGGACATACAAAGCAACAAAGAAATAATCTTATAAATGTGTTAGAAACAATCACCTGAAAGTAAAAAACATTTGAATACATATCTTAGGGTTCATTCCCCTAACATCAACTTATCTGACCTAGCTATCTCTCTATCTTAAGGTCAGCTATGTCATGTGACAACCTAATTCCAGGAGCAAACTCCATGTTCTTCCTAGCCATGGGTGGGGGAAGGGGACAAGAGGGAAGATAACCCAAGTGGTAGGGCATTGCATAGTAAGTATAAGTTCCTGAGTTTAACCTCAGTACCACTACCAAAAACCAACTATGCCATTTACTTTTGGAGTTCTCTTTAGGCTGATAGACATGTCAGTATACTAACAACAAATGCAACAAACAAACCTAAACACCAAGAACTGAGAGCATCATTGAGGAAATACAAAGATAATCTAAATAAAAGAAGAGCTATACCATGTCCATGGATTGGAGACTCAATATTTTTAAATGTTAATTCTTTATGAACTATCTAAAGATATTGTTGTTTTGAACAAAATTCCGTCCATTGTGTGTGTATGTATCAACTTCTGTAGGAATGGAAATGCAAAGGTCTTTAGAAAACAAAACAATTTTAAAGTAGAAAAAGACATGAAAAGTTATATACTATCAGATTTCAGATGTTACTCTGAAATCATAATAATAATCATTAAACACTGTAGTACAGGTATAAGAATAGAGATATAGGCTAATAGAATAGAATATTTAAAACCCATAAAAAGACAAACACAGCTGGGCACCGGTGGCTCACACCTAGCTACTCAGGAGACTGAGATTTGAGAATCAGGTTCAAAGCCAACATAAGTCATGCAACTCTTACCTTCAATTAATCAGCAAAAAGCCAAAAGTAGAAGTATGGCTCAAATGGTAGAGCACCAGCCTTGAGTAAAAAAGCTAAGCTGGAGAAAAAGGCCCTGAGTTTAAGCCCCAGTATTAGCACACACACACACACACACACACACACACACACACAAACACAAACACACACACCTACTCACATACAACCATTTCATTTATAGCCGAGATGTCCTTTATATCCAGTGGGGGACTTGCCTTTTGGAATAAGGATTCTTCCACTATCACAATCTCATGTGGGAAAATTAGTTGTTTACCATTCTTCTGTAAAAACAAATCCATGATAGATTACAAAGCTAACTATGAAAAGTGAGACATATTTCCAGAAGGAACTC